TTTACTACTGGTTCAGATGAATAGGTAGCATTTTTACTACCAGTTTGGGTGAACCGATCCGAACCAGTAGCATTTCACCCCTGGTCTGGCATCAGAAAGCTATTATGCCTTCCTTTCATTAATATGGATGGCAGGTTGTTAATCTAGATAGACAAATAATTCTTTGGTGTGATATGGGAGATGCTTAATAATTGCCTAAATCTGTAAATATTTCAAGGCAAAATTTCCACATAAAGGAACATTATAGGACCACTGTTTTATATATAAAGTACTGTGTTCTGAGAATTCTGATTGATTAATGAGTACCATAACAATATCAGACTAATGAAGCTACTAAAAAGTGATTTCATAAAGTCTGCTAACATGAACAATTAATATAACATGAACTATTAGTATAATAGAAGGTAAAACAGGTCACAGATATATTCCTTATTGCCGCATCTGACATTTCTATTTTTCAGGACAGGGATATGAAGCTAAGCTGGCAATCAAAACAAAACAAATAGGAAGGTACAGTAATGGGAACTTGTATGCCCATATTGCTTTCGAATTGTGGCATTGGAAAAGATCCCTGAGATTCCTTTGGACTGCAAGGAGATCAAATCAGTCAATCTTAAACAAAATCAACCCTGACTGTTCTTTGGAGATAGATGTTGAAGCTCAAATACCTTGGCCACCAAACAAGAAGAGAGATTTCATTGGAAAGGATCCTGAGTTTGGGAAAGATTGAAGGCAAAAAAAGGAACAGGACAGTAGAAGATGAGGTAATTAGATAGTGTCATCGACACAATGAACATGGATTTGGACAAACTCTGGGAAACAGTGGAGGTCAGAGGTGCCTGGCATGCTATGGTCAAGGAGTGTTGCTAAGGCGTAGCGAGAACAGTCAGATAAGCCTTAATGACTAAACAAATGTCCATATTTCTTATTGCAGCAGCTTCTTATCCTGAAGAACTATTCCTGATGGAACATCTGGAATGATATGAATGGTGACACAGAAGCATAACCTAATTTGTATTGATTCCACTTCTATACTGCAGTGCACACCAAGTCTCATGACACCAAAATCTCTGTCTTCTGAATGAGCTTTGCACCTGGTACAGCAACAAGGAATAAAAAGATATACAAAGGATTAGAAATATAAGTTCTCCATCTAATAATACTCCAGAACTCTGACATATATACTATACTAAAAGTTCTTTCAAATAGTATTTTATTTGAGATTTACATGTTCCTATTCTTCTGCTTATTTTCACTATTTATTTATTTATTAAATGTATACGCCTATATCCATTTACTTTAGAAAACTGGAGAATATCCTGGATATGAAATACTTATGAACATCTTACATCTGGCAAAAATATTTTGAAAAATCACAGTAGCCTTTAAAATATATTTTAGCATCATAAAAATTCTGTAGCTATTTATAATTAAAAATTGCTGACAATTTTAATAGACTTGATATTTTATATCAATTCAGCATTTTACAGTCCTCAGCTCACATTGTTTATAAGAAGTTAAACATCACAATTATTGACAGTTTCATGTACACAAATTTTCTTTTTTTTCAGTTTTAAAAACTAAAATTTAGTGGGTTAAAATATCAAAAAAGTTGAAATATATAAGTGATGGCGAACCTTTTTCACCTCAGCTGCCAAAACCATGCATGTGTGCTATTGCGCACGCTCGCGTGCTCACACCCATAATTTAATGCAGCCCCACACCAGCCCCTGCCAGTTCTAACCTCTTCTATAGAAGAGGTTCCAAAAATCTATAGTGCCATTTAGAACCGGTTCCAGCTCCCTCCCCCCACCCGTCCTCACATCATCAAGATGAAGAGCGAGAGGAGGAATTCTGGGAGTTGAAATCCACAAGTCTTAAAGCTGTCAAGTTTGAACACCCCTGGGGTTTTTTCTAAAGGGTTAGGGGTGCAAGGGTCTTGTA